CAATACAAACCCACTCCAGCTCATCGCTCCAAGATGTTAAGTCAGCCTCTCAGTCCTGAATCTTTGTGCACTCCACGAATGCAAATTCATAGGCTGGGCTATAAAATTTTCACGAAGTAAGAGCGTATAAGACTGGAGCAACTGACATACAAATCTGTTTGTGACAGCCATCCATAAAGGCCAAACAATTGATGCCCGCCCATGAAACTCTTTAAGAGTTAGCCTAAATTTCCCACATCAGGTTTTCCTGGGTGGACCCCTACTACAGTTAGGAATGGAGGTGAGGAGATAGGTATCACTCAAAAAGGACATTTTTAATCAAAACTGATTGCGACAGCTACTGGAGCTTAAAGCTCATTAACATGAGATGAGTCTTTAAGAGAGTAATGAGTATTACTCAAGTATTCACAATACTTTTACAGAATCATTAGACAATTGTATATCATAAGTCCAGTCAACAGGAAAACAATACCACGGCAAAGAAAGTTCCTCTTGAGAGAGAACTGAGTAAAATCCAAGTGACTTAGAATACATGTGAGTCTAGAGATGATTTTGTGGTTGTGGTTAAAATAATTCGAATAGGAAGAAACACTGACATTTGACCCCAGTCAATTCAGAACTACCACCTACTTATATCTACTAGCTCTATAATTCTTTATTTTTAAAAGTTCGGGAACAACAGACAGAAGAGCAAAAATAATGATCAATTCACTGTCTCTGGTGACCGCCACTGGCCCTATGATAAGTGAGAACCCAGCATTTACTCAACCTAATACCCTCCTGCGTCTTTAGGGACTTGCTGCCCAGGCTGAATGTGATGACAGGAGGGGATAAGATAGGACAACGTGGCTTAATGAACAAGGTTTCAAGAGACAGTGTTTCTCCTTCCTGAGGAAAGGCTAATGGCTGGAGCAGCCCAGGGTAAGGCGTCAATATGAAGAACTAAACACACGTGCTTATCCAGGAATAAACACACGCTCTCCACAGGGAGCCAATGTGTTATGTAAAATCTGAGGTTTTGTGGCCAGAATTTACTGTGTGGTTAGGGGTGAAATCAGTTTTTATTAATCTAAATTCTACCTGAACGCTTTCCCCAGTGCAGGCTGACAAAAAAGCAGCTGTGCAGAGTCCTAACTGTCATAAGGCACCCCTAGCAC